GACCTCTTCTGGAGCGTCGCGTCTGAGATCCCGACACGTTGCATGGTAGGGAGTCGACGATCGGTACTTCATTCCGATCATCATAGTAGCCGATACCATTCTCAAGAATAACTTGGAGATCAGTTAGTTCGCACACTGAGATGCCTGGAAGGGAAGAGAGTGGAGGGTTAGGATATAATAGACATCGGGGACTCCCAAGAGAGGGGGGGGGGGTGGGGGGAGGAAAAGCACATCAATCTCCCCTGGGGGAGGGAGGGGAGGAAAAGCACATCAAACTTTCCTTGCAATACAACACTGTACAATGTTTGTCCTTCTCTTCCCCCCACCCTCACCATGAGAGAAGGAGGCAACCTGAGTTCTCCCCGCACCTCCTCGCACTTCATGCTGAGCTCTCGTGCCAGGCTCATCACAGCAGGCTTGATCAGCGGCGCTCCTCCCACCGAGTGAAGCCCTTTACCCGTTACCACCAGGAGATAGCTCTCCCCACTTCCTTTCTCCTCTCCACTTCCTTTCTCCTCTCCTCTTCCTTTCTCCTCTCCTCTCTCTTCTCCCTCCTCCCTCCCTCCCTCCTGCTCGGTTCGCTCCTCCTCCCTAGCTCCCTCTCCCCGTCCCTCTCCCTCCTGCTGTCTCTCTTGCCTTGCTAGCACCACGGCAAAATTCCGACCGACGTTGCTGATGACCGCAGCGTTCTCCTTCCCTGTCCTGAGAATCACCTCCACCCCTAGCTTCGCCTCCACCACGCTGAGCCCGTGCAGATCGACGTATCCTCTCTTCTCGGCATCCTCCAGCATGTTTACTATGGAGCTCAGGACCCCCTTGTCATGTGCGGATCCCTTCTGCCTCCTTCTCAGCTCCAGCTTCGAGGACCTCGAGCCCTTTTCCTCGCCGCTGACATGCCAGGCTGGCCCAGGATGGCCGAACAGCAGGCTGATGACACTAGGCTGAATGAACTTGAAGACAAGGAGGGCAACTCTCTCCCGGTTGTCCTCCCTCTTCTTCACCTTCCTCCCTCCTCCGCTCTTCCCTTCCACTGCTGCGTTCTCCATCATCCAAAGTCTGCAGAGGGCGCTGAGGGAGATGTTGTGCCCCACATGCTCTTCTAGCATATCCACCAGCTCCCACGCCTCCTGCGCAGCTCCCCATCTTGCGCATGCCCCGATAGCAACCGACACGCAGGACAGGTACATCTCTTCCGAGTGCCCGTACGAGTAGACAGCCTTGCGCAGGCTCCGCAGAAGTGTTATGCACCTCCTCCACTCGCCGACGGACCTGCAAGCACACAGTGTCGAGAACATGAGCTCGTCGGGCACATTAGGGAAGTCATCCTGCAGAGATGAGACGATCCTCCACAGGTCCTTAGCACTCTTTGCCTCCTGCACCAGCTTCGTCTGGGCATTGAGTGCGCATTCTACATCCACCTCGAAGCTGGTGTAAAGTGTTGCTGGCATTACCAGCGACGTGTCCTTCTTGCATGGGAAGAACGAAAACCACGCATATCGCCCGCTCTTCCATGTTCTGCACGCTGCTCTCCTCATCACGTCAAGGCGGAAACAAGCCTGCTTTTCTGCATCAATATCCGTGCGACTAAGCAGCGGCAGAAGGTTTGGAGGATGTGCAAAGCAATCCATAGCACCTAGATATGACCTGGCTCCAGCTCCAGCTCCAGCTAGATATGACCTGGCTTCTGCTCCTGCTCCAGCTCCAGCGGGCTGTCCTACCATGGCAGCAAGCAGCAATGCAAGCCAACGCCGCATTGCGGCCGCCTGAACAGCAAGGATTTAACTTAACTTTGAGTAAAAGACTAAGGGCACCGTACAAGTACTGAGCCCGCCGCAGGCTGCTTGCTGACCGGCGGGCCCGGCCCGGACCCGGGCTCACTAGTCGGACGCACAACTCAAGAGTCAAGGGTGGCAATGGGATTTTTAAAAGAAGCCCTGGTTCCCTTGTTTCCTGGTACTGATGACTTGTTGGTAGATAGCGTTTTGTATCTATATTCTGCAAATCTGTACTGTGTGATGAAGTTTTGTCACAATATTAAAATTTCATGGTACAATTATCAAAATAAATAATGTCAATTTGTCGTACAAAATTTGTACCAATATTTCAAGAATGGATATAGAGTCAGAGTGATTCCATAAACGGAGGCAGGGACTCCATCACACCACCCCCACCCCCCCAGCTGATCAAGGTGACTTTTGCATTCGTCATTTCCAAGATGACTTTTGTAGTACCTGGCATTATTCCCTCAAATAGACCGGTACTGACGAAATTCAGAGTACCCTACCTTATCTTCTCTGCATCCTTTCACCCACCGTGCCCCACCCCCAATCGTTCCGGGAACCTATAACACTCCCTCATCCCTCAGGTGCATCCTTTGTATCTTGCTCGGTCCTCCTACCGTCCCAACTTCCTCCTGTCCATCCACACGCTCCTCCTTCACCATCATTCCTGTCTCGTGATCCCATCCTCTTGACGCTGACTTGCCTACTTTGATCGGAAAAGATTCACCATGAAGTGCTCCTTCACCAGATTGAGCTATCTTCTCTTTCTCGTAGTGCTGCTTGTTGCCGCGCCCTCGTTTTCCAATGGAGAGAGCGACGACAACGAAGGACCAGGAGGAGAGGAAGATCATCATCATCCCGGTATGGGAGATTCTAGCCCTCCATGCCAACCTGGAAGCAACTGCCAACCTCCTGGAAGCAGCAACCCTCCACCGCCGCCCACCAAGGGTAGTGGAAGCTCGGCACCTGAGCGCCCTCCACTGTCCGTGGCTTGGAGGGTCAAGACAACATGGAGCATGCAGGCCGATCCTTCTCAGTTCGATAGCTCGCGACAAAGTAGCTTCATCGCTGCGATGAGTCTGCTCACAGGGGTGCAAGCGCAGGATATCGTTGTCAACGTCGTGCAGCCGAGGAGCGCCCGTCGGCTCCTGCAGTCGTCGACTCAGACGACGACTCTTGACTGTGCCGTTCACGTAGGTGATGAACAGACTGCTCTTGATCTGTCCAAGAAAATTTCTGCGGAAAATTTGGCGCCTTTGCTGGTCAAGGAGGGATTGCCAACAGCATCCATGATCGACCTCACCGTCTTCGCGCCGCAGTCATCTGCATCAGGGTCTGTCCCTCAGCCGTTCAACGGGCCTGCAGGCAACAAGAGGCCGCACGTCTCAGTCGATGAAGTCAAGAACGCCGGGATAGCGTTTGGCCTCCTCTACACCCTCTGCCTCTTGTGTGCTGGTCTGCCGACCAGCTACATCCCCAGAGACAGCAAACCAAAGCTCGGCATGGTTGCGCTAGTGGCGTTGTGGACCTTGATCGTTGCAAGAGCTCTTTTCTTCTTCGTGGACCCTTTTCATGCTCGGGGAACCTTTTGCTTGTCCCTTATGTTCACTCTGTACGGGCTTTACTTCCCCTTGGCCGTTCTCCTCAAGTTCGCGCACTGCAGCATTCATGGATACATGAATGTGAGTAACCATCCAGTCCTTCAATTCTTGTTGACGATGGTGGTCAGAGAGCCGTCACAGTGATTTCACTGCTCTTGATCTTTGCCGAGCTTGTCTTGCAGGTATAGCCTTCTTTGTTTCCGTCTCGACCTCGATAACTGAGAAAACTGTCAGGTTGCGTCAGACATTTGGAAAGGAGAACACCTCCAGAACAGTTTTGAAAGGTGCTGAATTATCTTTGCCTCCATTTCGACATCTTACATGAAAAACAGAGCCCCTCTCTATGCATTCATCGTTCTGGGGACTATGTATTCGGGTACCAAGCCTCTTGTTCTTACATGTTTGTTTAATGTGTTCGCAGTTGCTGCATTGACTGTCTCTGCAAAGGAGAAGAATGTCTTTCTGTTCCTCTCGTCGCTAGCTACGTTGGTAGTGGTGATCTTCAACCTCCTTGAGGAAGCCAAGGTGTACCACCTCCTGGACGAACTTTCTCTCTTCGTGATCTACTGCCTGCTCGAGGTGCATTGTGCAAATTTGCAGATTTTATTTGTTCTTGGTCTGAATCGTGTCTTGCTTTCTCAGCTTCTTGTTGTCTTCTTTGACGGCCTTGCCTTGAGACAATGGTTGAACTCGCGGAACTCATTTCCAGTCGGTGTGGTTGAGGGCTCCGTTGATGGCACGGTCAAGAAGCAGGACATGGCAAACTTTGTTTATCCGTAAGCTATCATTCATGCTATCTTGCGGGATGGTTTGACCCTCTGTTCCAGGTCTGCGCCTGAGATTAGAATCGTGAAGCACGACGTGGCTCCGTAAGTTGCTCCTGGAGCGTTGTGCTGTAAGCTCATCTGTTAGCAGATTTGCCGCGAAGCCAGTCAAGGGCATCTGCGAAAGTTCATGGGAGCCTTTCAGCAACGAGATGCCTGACGAGTTCAAGAACAAGCTTCAGGTGGTGGTTGAAACAGCTTCAGTGTCCTCAGGTGGAACTTCAAGACCATCCACAGCGTTCCAAGGGTAAGATTGCCTTGTTGAAAGCGGTTCATACCCTGGTGCAGCGCCTGATTACCTTTCGACAGATATCCCCGGAGTCCCGTTGTTTCGGATCGTAACTGAGACAACTTCCGATTTCAAGGCTCAAAGAGTCGCACCCCTCTTCTGCTTCTTGCGGCTGCTCTCAGTGTTGACTACATAAAGGTCTGTCAGAGGCTCAGGGAGCTGAATGGTGTACCATACTTAGAGCCCGGTACACGCCGAGCTCCGATTTGACTGCAGGCGGCGGTGTTCGGGAATACTTAAGTCACTAGTAGTATCCACAGTAGCCTGACCGTTCAGTAAAGCCGCGTGACCGTCACGGCCAGCCCCTGAGTCACCGGCGAATCATTTGGACAGTCACTGAGTCCGACGGTCACGTACCGGGTCCCACTGCGCCGGCCGCCCGGGCGGCCGGCGGCCAGACGGTGTTCTACGGTACGGTACGGTAGTACCGTAGTTCCGTAGTACCGTACCGTACTGTCACTGTACTGGCTCACCGTGTAGCGCCCGGTAGTACCGTACGGTACGGTAGTACCGGCGCCGTACGCCGGGTAGTACGGTCACCGGGTACCGTACGGTACGCCGCCGGTTTGAGGCCACTGATGCCTGGCCCGGCGCGGCGCGTGCCTGACAGTCGGAGTGATTGACTCGCGGGCCGGGCCTCCGATTCCGATCCGGTGACTGCCGGGCCTAGGCTGCCAGTGCACTCAGTGCGGCATGGCCCTGCCGCAATGCGGCAGCCTCCCGGCCCGGGCCGGTTCGGCGACGATCCGGGCCGTGGGTCCGACCGTAGTACACTGCCGCAGTGCCACCGTGTGGCTTACTAGTGTAGCCTGCCAGGCTGGCCCGGGCCCTTCAAGTGACAGTGCTGCAGTGCGGCTTTCATGTCAGTGTCCAAGTGTGCCAGCCTGCAGTGTGATTGATCCGATCCGGGACTTGGACTGGCAGTCCGATCCGCCGGTTCAAGTTGGCACTCAGGCTTTGAAGCCTTGACCCTGAGGCTCAGGGCCGCTGTGTACTCCCGCCGGGGGATGCACCGTACTGTCACTCGGCGGCGGACTCAGCAGCCGGGTGACCCCGGTACGGCGGCACGGTCCGGGCGGCCGACGGTTACGGTTCGGAACTAAGTTCGAAGTTCCGTTGAACGGTTCGCCGCCCCGCCGAATCCTACCAGCACAGTCACTGATCGGACACTGTCACATGATACGGGCGGCGGTACGGTACTTCAAGCACATGCCGTGAGGCTTGGCAGTGAACTTGGGCCCTGGCGGCCGGGCAGCGGCGCGCGGCGCCCCGGGATCTTCCGAACGACTGAGTCGGCGGAGTCGGAAGCCCGTTTCCCGGACCCGGCGTACTACGGTCACCCCGGCCGCCGGCCGGGCCCGGATCGGACTGAGCGGACTCCTGATCAGTCCGGGAGGGCCCGGGCCGCGGGGCCATCATGACACCGTGACGGTGCCACGGTCCGTCACCCGGACGGTGCTCCCCCGGCGGGCCCATTCTCAGTCCGAGCCTGTCAGGGCCCGGCCTGCTGACAGTGAGTCAGCGGCCCCGGCACTCCGCACGGGGCCCGCGTCCGAGCCGCCCGGGCCCGGCGCGGGCCGGGGTGCCACGGTGATTCGGAGTTCGGAATCATGACTCTCGTAAAACTAGCAGCGCTTGAGATTGTTGCTAGGCGAAGTTTGCCGTGAACACAAAGCATTAAGGCCCGCCACAAGGCTCGAAAATAACCAAAATACAACGCATCAGATTGTTGCTAGGCAAAAGTGGATACGAAACGGCGGTGCCGTGAAATGGTACCAGAAACAAGCTTGCCTCAGAAAAGAACTAACAGACGTCGATCGAGATTGTTGCTGGGCAAAAGTACGGATACAGCTAAATCATCCAAGCTCACCTCAGAATAATCTGCAAAAAGACAACGTTTGAGATTGTTGTGGGTAAACTTAAATCTTCAGAGAGAGCAAGACGACGATTGCGATTGTTGCGGGTAAACTTAAAGCTTGTGGCCCTCCACTTGCAAACACGACGATTGAGATTGTTGCTAGGCATCAGAGTAGAAGACAACGATTAGCATTGTTGCTCTTGATACAAAAAGGCTCAAGAGGTAGGGTATAGACACAGTATAGACAAGACACCGGTTGGGATTGTTGCGGGGCGATTTGCAAGGGGTTTCAAAGACAACGGTTGAGATTGTTGCTAGACAAAACTCTTGCAAGTAGCGCAACGCGGTACAAGAGCAACGGTTGAGATTGTTGCCCGGCAAGTAGGATACAAAGTGATGCGCCGTGGGAAAAAGACGACGATCGAGATTGTTGCGGGCAAGCTTAAGCCCGCAAGTCACCGGGACATGACGACGACGATGCGGATCAAAGACAACTCAACGGTCGGGATTGTTGCTGGTCGATACCTGACTAGAGGTCTTGGGCGAGAAGAAAGACGACGATTGAGATAGTTGCTAGGCAAAAGATGCATGTGCGTGATGGTTTCGGTAGTAGAAAGACGACGGTTGAGATAGTTGCGGTTAAATTAAACCTTGGTAACGCACGGCAGGGGTCTACGAAAAGCATCGGTTGAGATTGTTGCTAGTCGATTAGATACAAATCGACAGCCTGACATGGGATTCGCGGAAAGGACTGGAAGAACACGTCGTTTAAGATTGTTGCTGGGCATCGACATGCAGCAAGTACACGTTAATGGTCGAGATTGTTGGCTGTGCCAACAATTAAATGTTCCTGTCAGAGACTCTCTGCAGAAGACAACGATTGAGATTGTTGCCAGACGAAACTGAGGTGCATTCTTAGGTTATGGTAGTACAGACAGCATCTCATTAGATACATCCTGCGGCAGACCCTTGTGCTTACAAGCAAGCAGGTGTGTCGGCGATTGAGTTGTTGCCAGTCAAGTTCAAAAGATACACACATCCGGAGACTGCTGCAAAGTCAACGACCGAGATTGTTGTCATGCAATGAAAGAAACACTTGTAGCTGCGAACCAACTAGACCGTTGTACTGCAGTAAAGACAACGATTGAGATTGTTGCCAGGCGAAATTAAGATACATTAAATTTATATTCGTGGTAGACCGTGAATGCCGCGGTCATACAGGCAGCGGTTGACATTGTTGCCAGGCGATTTCCGATACATCTAGAGGCAGACCAGTGAGGGCGCGGAAATCAGCGATTGAGATTGTTGCCAGTCAACAACTTGCCATGATGATGCGCTGCTCCTGTAGACTGCACCGGTTGAGATTGTTGCCTGACCAGTAAAGCAGTTTCAACCGGAGAGGAGCGAGGCAGCGTCGATTGAGATTGTTGCGGTCCGGGCGGAAATTGCTGAGGGTTGCAGATGCAACGGTTAACAATGTTGCTCGGGAAAATGACGACACCAAGAGGTTGTGGACAGCCACGTCGACCAGCTTCAAGTCACAACGATTGAGATTGTATCGGGCGATCGTCGTGACACATCTACCTGCTGGCTGCGGGTAGAACACCGTAAAAGACGACGATTGGAATTGTTGCCGGGCAAACCGTGAGGTTTGTGGATACCTTGCTCGATAACAGTGGCAACGTTTGGGACTGTTGCCGGACGAAACTCTACGCCCATGTCACGACCTTCACCATGAATGTGATGCATCTACAATGTAACTTGAACATCCATAACTTTAATTCACATAACTCGAGCATCCTTCCTTACATACGTGAGCGCATAACAGCCGTTGTCTGCTATTTCCTCAAGCTTCTCACAGTGGTTGCAAGAAGCATTCTCAGCTGCCGCAGCTGAAGGGGCTTCAGAAGGCACTAACTCTCCCTCTTCAAGCTCCAAGTCACCTTGTCGGCTGCTGGTGGGCCCACGGCAATATAGATCTTCCTCGCCTCATGAAGCAATTCAGATGCCTCCACGAAGTTCGATTCGTCGATCGACACCATCGCCTGTCTACTTTGTCAGGAGCTCCTCTGCCGTAACGATGAGCACGTTCACCGCCTCATACAAGTCGTCTGCCCTGGCGATGTCGTCCGTGTTGTCCTTTGCTTTCTGGATCTCACGCTCTTGCCGCTTCAAGTCTTCTATCCTCTCCATGCCGATGCTGCCTCCATCACTGGACACGCGCTCTCACAGTCATGCTGCGCAAAATGCGCCGGCGGTACTTACCCGCACTCAGCCAGCGCTTGCGCAATCTGTCGAAGAGCCTCGTCGTAGTTGGCCTGCTATCGCCCTGACATCGATGACGCAGGAAACGAGAACAGCTTACCTCGGAAAGGGCTCGACATGCTGCCATCTCATGCCTTGAGGCAGTCAGAGTGAGGGAAATGCACAACAGCAGCCGCTGACGTGGCTCCAACCTCTCGGAGTTCTCGATAGCCCTGACTTCGAGGGATGAGAATCGGCAGATGTTGATCTGTCACAACAGTCATGTCGACTATCGGACGACCACCATGACTGTCATGACGACGAACAGCCCTGAAGATATGAGAAAGGCATGTTCGACCTGGAACTCTGACTCCATTGCGCTGACGGCAAACACCACCCCGCTGGAGGACGATAGTCAGGAGGTAGGAACACAGAACAAACCTCCTCGTTCCTCGGTATCTTCCGGAAGGAACTCCCCGGGATGATAGCCCCATTGTGTGTGAAGTGAACCGACATGAATCCGATCGATGAGATGTCTTCTGCTCCTGATCTGCCAGTATCTCCATCACACTCTCACTTACCCTATCGTCGTCCTCACTCACTCCAGCAGCAGAGGGTCCCCTTTTTCAGTATCTAGAGATATCCCTATCCTATCTCCGACCTTGATCGCACTGGCCAGCTTGCCTTGACTACCACCCTTGTCAAACAACAGCCCTGCATCTTGTCTTCAGACCTCAAGAGCTTCCCGTCGCCGTAGACACATCCATCCATCGTCATGCCCCAACTGTCCTTGAACGACCCCAGCCAGTGAGCGGCCTCGTCCTCCCCGAAGTTGGTTGGCTCTGGCAGCAGACTACTCTTTCCACTCTGCTCAGCGAACCTTGACCTCTGCTGATATCGGATCAGTCCTATGCTGTTCACTCCCCCGTACAAGGAAAGCTGGAGGCATTCCAGTTCAAGCTCGAAGAAAGCTGACCCGTTTGAATGTCAAACATTCTTGTCAGCAATCGTGGGTAAACGAGAGAACAATCAGGGTTAGCTTACTTTGCCCAGCTTCCATTACGGGTTCTGGGCAGATAGCAAGTCCTCCTCCTCCACCGCCGCAGCTGAATCGCACTCCCTTGTGGAATAGAGGTTGAGTAGACCACAGGAAGTCAACTGATTACCTTCCCGTCGTTGGTAAGTGTGACCTGATGGTTGGATCCCTTCTTCCTTGGGGCAAACATTGGATACAGCCTTGGGAGACTCATTCATTACGCCTTTACTTCGATGGACGAAGAGTATCATCCACAATCTTACTTTATCTTCATCTCTCTAGATGCTATGTGCTCCACCCCTATTCTACTACTTCTCTTCTCCTGCTTCTGCTTGTTGCTGCCGCCCAGTGCTCTCCTGCTGTATCGACTTGATCCTCTCCACCTCGATCCCTCTCCTCTTCTTGCATTCGCATCACATCGCAGCATGGCTCGCACAGCTACCTTCGCGACTCCGATGCCATGTTGGGCGGCAATCAAGTTTGACCAGGAAAAAAAAAAGAATCAAATTTCGCGCCTGGAGAACTTTCGAAAGTGATTCTATATATTCTCCAATATACTACAAATGCTTCGGATATGCAAGAGCTGAATTCGATATTTCAGGCGACGTACAACGTATAAAGAACATATCCTTGCAATATTCTATTGCAAGGGGGCAACGCATTATGGCATGGTTTTCGAGGTAGCTCAATGCTGACGTTTGGAGAGGATCAAGGAAGATGGAAGAGCAGGGAGGAGGAGGAGGAGACGCAAGGTAGAGCTTGCTCAGAGAACATCATCAAGTGACGGAGTTGCAGCTGAATCTTTGTGGGCGAGATAAGAAATCCTGATCAAAGAACGTACATGACAGACTGAGCAAAGTGCGGATTCAGCTCGTTGCCCCTGCAGGACGAGGAGGAGGCTCAAGTGCTTTACAGGCAAGCATACCAGCAAGACTGCGAGTGTAAGGAGGAACAACAGGATGAACAGCGTGCGAGGGCAACTCTACCGTCTGTTCAAACCTGAGCCAGGCATTTCGAACCCTCTAATGTCAAAGATAGAAAGGAACCCGCTGAAATCGAACCGCCTGGTGCTGAGCAAGATGAAGAAGAGGAGTAATTCCTTGCGCCGATCGCTGACGCCGGAGGATGCTGAGGAGCCTCTGCTCGGGGAGCAGATCAGCGACTGGCACCTTCGCCAGTTCGAGCTATGCTTACACACCTGCGAGTTCCGCTATCGCACGAAAGCACGGGATCTTGCAGACGACGAGAGCAGGTTTGCTCCGGGGATGAAGAGGTACAAGGCTGTTTAACTTGGTGTTTATCCGGCTGATTGAGCTGTGGCAGCATCGGATTCATCCAGGCAGAGACGGAGATTATCAAAGGGCCCACTATCTCTACTGTTGACATGGACCCCAAGACAGGGCAAAGGCTCATTCTTTATACCATCACTGTTCAGTTCTCTTTTGAGGACAAGGTCTCGACGTCTGTTGGACGGTCGTGGGTAACGTATCCTGTAGTGATGGGACACGATGACCATGTTGAGAGGGATCGATGGTATGACGCGATCTCAAGGCTGATCGAGGAGAAACGGTCGATGCAGCTTGCATGGAAGCTCCACCTTGCCCAGAAGAGCAAGGAGAGTGATTCAAAGCACATGATATGGGAGCAGCAGAAGCAGGGAAAGTTTGCTCTGGTCATCAACCAGAAGCAGCACAAAAACTCGCGCCTTCGCAATGGAAAAGTCTTTCAGGACATCCCCGTCGTCTTTAAGAAATACGCCTTCCACCATCACGACTGGAAGACGGCGCACGGGGTAATGAGGATAGAGGACGTGACAAGAGCCTTGCAGGATCTTGGTCTGAACCCTCCTGACTGGCACGCTACTCGCATGCTCGAAGACTTGATCAGAACTCCCCAGCGCTCGGATTTCCCCAGGCTGCTCGATCTGGACGGGTTTGAGATCATTTTCAAGTCGGCATATGACGAGCTGATAACTTCACCTTCCGACGAGATGATGGAGAAGCTGATGGAAATCATGAACCGGAGCAACAATCCTTTCCTGCAGCTGCTATCCAAGGCCGAGAAAGAGAACCTGGTCGAAGGCAAGGACGCCGACGGAAGGAACGTCTGTGTATGCAGGAAGTATCTCAAGGGGACAGTCATTGTCAACCAGGGCGATGAAGGTCATTCAATGTTCATCATCATCGAGGGCCAGCTCAGTGTCGTCGTCACGTTTGGGAAAGGTCCTTCTCTCACTCATCCTCTTGCTCCTCCTCCTGCTCATCTCCCTTGCCCCCTCCCTAGCTGCTCTTCCTGTTGCTTCGTTTATACGTGTTCACTGACATCCTCCCTTCTCCGGCTTGTCCGCTCCCTCTGACCCTCTCTTCTTCCCTTTTTGTTCTTCTCCTTGCTCGTCTCCTCCATCTTCTCCCCTCCATTTCCTCCCACCTCCCTTGTGGCTGCTTCTACATGACTTCTATGCGTCTGGCAGGACCTGACGCCATGCAGAAGGAAGTCGCAAAGCTTCCAGAGGGAGCAGTGATGGGCGAGATGTCTCTGGTGCTCGGCAAGCCCAGAAGCGCAACCTGTGTGGTGGCCTCAGACAAGGCGCTGCTGGCAGAGGTGACGAGGTCGGCAGTGGTCAAACTCCTCGAGTCTCGACCCTCCCTATCGAGAGAGCTGCAGGACATGGTGATCAGGAGGGATACGGCCAACATCCTCGCTGCAGGGTCTGCTACAGGTGCTGCTGGATCCCTGGAGGGCAGGAGGCAGGAAAAAGGAGGAAGGGGAGATTGCAGATCGAAGGATAGAGGGATTGAGCAGTTGGAAAAGAGATGCGAGGGGGGAGGGGAACGGGATGGGTGTCACTGTAGGAGGATGCAAAACCCACAGGAGGCAGGAGAGTAGGAGGAGGCTGAGGAGGCGAAATGCTGTGAGCGCAGCTAACCGATCTGTTCTCAGCCATGGCGGCATATCGTTCTGTGCTCGCCCGCTCAGGAAATCGGGTGGACAACGAGCCGTCGAAGGAGACGCGCGGGGATCAGCCGCGTCTGTTCAAGTCCGAGTGTCTCGTCAAGAGGTTGCAGACTCGCAGCACGCGAGTTCAGGTAAAGGAGGAGGAGGATGTGGAGGTGTTGTTGTTGGTGGTGGTGGTGGAGGAGGAGGAGGAGGAGGAGGTGGTGGTGGTGGTGGTGGTGGTGGTGGTGGTGTTGGTAGTAGAGGAGGCCCAAGGGTCGA